GCATAAGCTCTTTACATAGAGGAACTTGAAGCGGAGATGCAAAAGCTCCATGAAGAACATGCATCCACCTTATTGGAGAGAAGGGCTGCCGATAATGATGATGAAATGATTGAGGTAGAAGCAGCTGTGGCAGTATTCAATGAACGTGGCAACAATGTGCAATAATTGCTGCTACAAAATGCAACTCAGGCGGCATCTTCTACTATTAGAGAATGTTGACGCTTGATTTTGGACGCCAATAACTCGCATGTGCAAAGTGCTAAGAGAGCCTTAGAAATTACATATGATGGATCTATGAGATTTGAATATGGTGCTGAGGTTATATATGTTGTAGAAACATAAAAAAAAGATTGGCAAGAAGGGGTTTTTATAGTGGTTCAGATGCTCAAGAGCGAATCCTACGTCCACTGTTATTTTATTATTCTCTAGCTATTTCTATGATATTGCCCATAAGGCATGCAAAGATGGAGAAAAGCTTTGATTACAGAGAGAAATAATGAAATGAAGCTCAAATCTATACCTAACTCTCATCTGCCCAACCCCCCTTTTTCGTGAAGAGAAGTGTCAATTTATACATCTTTGAGGTCAATGTAATGAGTGTTTTGTAAGTTGCCTTGACACATGGAAGGCTCTCATCCGTTCATCTCTTAAAAGGAGATAAAGTTGGTATGAATATCTTTGAGGAGGTATGGGCTTGGTAGCTAGTACACAAAGACATTTATTGAGCTGACATAAACATGACTTTTTAGGCATAACAGAAGCCCCCCAGTTTTTGGAGTGCGTAATCGCGCTTCAAAAACTTAGGTCTTTGATCTGAATGGCCGTCGCACTATAGGCTGCAGTCTCGAACTGAAGAGCTCTAACTATTCCTAGCGCGATTGAGTGCTGAGCTAGGAAGGAGATCTGAGAACTTGAAGCCATCCGAAGCTGAGGCTGTTCGCAATATTAGAGCTAAAAGCTGATCGCGATTTGAGAGCTAGGAGTTGATCGCGATCTGAGAGCTAGAAGTTGATCACTATTTGATAGGAGCTTGAACTGAGATCATAACAAGCTCAACCTGAGAGCATAATGGTACATAACAAGCTCAATTAGAGAGCATAAGGGGCTCGACCTGAGAGCACAACGAGCTCAATCTGAGAGCACAACGAGCTCGACCTGAGAGATCATAACGAGCTCGATCAAAGAGCACAACGAACTCGATCAAAAAGCACAACGAGCTTGATCAGAGAGCATAACGAGCTTGATCAGAGAGCATAACGAGCTTGATCTGAGAACAAGAGATCAACGATCTCAGCAAGTGATCAGCGATCTGAACACGCGATTTAAAGCTAAAGATCAGCAATCTGAAGCCGAAGATCATATCTACTTGAGCGTGCAATCTGCGAACTAGCCACGCGATCGGAGAACTCTGACGCGTGCAATTTGCGATCTGGCCACGCGATCGAAGAATTCTGACGCGTGCAATCTGCGATCTAGCCACGCAATTAGAGAATTCTAACGCGTGCGATCTACGATATGGCCATGCGATCGAAGAACTCTGATGTGTGTGATCTGCGATCTGGCCACGCGATTTGAGAACCCAGACGTAGGTTTGAGACCTGCATGGGCCACCAAACTGTTGACGCTTGATTTTGGACGCCAATGACTTACACGTGCAAAGTGCTAAGAGAGCCTTAGAAATTACACGTGATGGATCCATGAGATTTGAATATGGTGCTAAGGTTATATATGTTGCAAAAACATAAATAAAAGATTGGCAAGAGAGGGTTGTTATAGTGGTTCGGATGCTCAAAACCGAATCCTACGTCCATTGTTATTTTATTATTCTCTGGTTATTTCTATGATATTGCCCATAAGGCATGCAAAGATGAAGAAAAGCTTTGATTACAGAGAGAAATAATGAAATGAAGCTCAAATCTATGCCTAACTCTCATCTGCCCAGCCCCCCTTTTTCGTGAAGACAAGTGCCAATTTATACATCTTTGAGGTCAATGTAATGAGTGTTTTGCAAGTTGCCTTGATACATTGAAAGCTCTCATCTTTTCATCTCTTGAAAGGAGATAGGGTTGGTATGAATATCTTTGAGGAGGTATGGGCTTGGCAGCTAGTACAAAAAGACATTTATTGAGTTGACATACGCGTGACTTTTTAGGCATAACAGAGAACAAACAAATTTACCAGTGAAGTCAGATGAATTTTGTAGAGATATGAATCTGCATAAACGGATGGATATGACATAGAAGGTTGAAGCACGCCAAAGTATGAGAGCTCGATTTGAGTCAAAGCGCTTGTCATCCATGGATATTGACAGTTCCAATCAGAAAATGGAAGGAGAATCAAGTACTGATGAAAGTGATAGTGAGAGTTATGCATACCAGTCAAACCGTGAATTGGTGCTCCAGCATGCTGATGAGATTTTCAGTGATGCATCTGAGGAATATTCCCAACTTTCATTGGTTAAAGAAAGGTTTGAAAAGTGGAAGAGAGAGTATTCATCGAGCTATCATGATGCTTACACGTCCCTAAGTACTCCCACTATTTTGTCTCCGATTGTAAGGTTGGAGCTCTTAAAGTGGGACCCATTACATGAGGATGCTGATTTCTCTGATATGAAATGGCATTCTTTACTATTCAGTTATGGTTTGCTAGAAGATGGGAGAGATTTTGCCCCCGATGATGCTGATGCTGATGCTAACCTGGTTCCTACGCTAGTGGAAAAGGTTGCACTTCCAATTCTGCATCACGAAATTGCTTATTGCTGGGACATACTTAGTACAAGAGAAACAAAGAATGTTGTTTCTACTACAAGCTTGGTTGTCGCCTATGTTTTTACTTCCAGTGAGGCACTAGCGGATTTACTACTTGCTATTCGTACTAGGGCCGGCTCAAGGGGTAGGCATGTAAGGCACCTGCTTAAGGCCCCGCCAAAAATAGAGTTAAAAAAAAGGCCTAATTTTTTTATATATTTTTTTTAATATATTACAAAAATGAAAATAGTGAATAATTTCTTGTAGTCGGCCCTAGGGCCCCCCCCAAAAAAAGCCAAAATTTATTATATACATTTTACATATATTCCCACCCAAAGTTTGACGAAAGAGAAAATTTGTACCTCTAGTTTCATATATTCTAATTTAACCTCTAAATTGACATATTGAATTTCGTGTAACAATGAAAGGCTAAAATGGTCATCTCCATGTCTCAAATTACTCACCTTCAATTCAATCCCAAAATTCGATATTTACATAAATAATCTCCACCCCTCTTTCGCCGCCGGCTGTTTGGAGCTGATTCCGGTCGATTTTCTCGGAATCATCATTTTATCATTTCCCAAGTGTTTTCCTAACCTTGATAGCCCTCGATTTGACCATTTTTTACGAATCTCGTAGCCTAACTCCATTACGTGCCTGACGTTGCTGGCCTTCCCTGACGCCACCATCTTCCTCCCCTTTGCCCTCTCACCAAAACCCCTATCATACCTCATCCGTTTACTTTGCCAATCGCTAGCCACCAATACCTTTTAGGCAGTGACTTCTCAAGTCTTTTTCCGGTCAATCCTGGCATTGGAAATCACTCATTTTACCACCCATTGCTTCTCTAACATCTGCTCTCCAAAACCCCCCACCAACCTAACCCCGTTAACCCGTCGGTCGTCGTCTATCTCTCCTAGTGATTTTGCATCTCAAAAAACAAGAAAAATAAATTTGAAATAATTTTTTTAATATACGCATATCTTTTTAGAAGATCCCAAAATAACTTTTACCTAAGGTCACAAATATTCTTAAGACGGCCTGATTCGTACCCATCTGGCTGAAGCTGTTTCTAACCTTACAGTCCCTGCATGGAGCCCTCTCTTAATGAATGCTGTTCCCAATGCAGCACGGATTGCAGCATACCAATTTGTGGGAGTTAAAATCCTAATTTTCCTTTATTACTGTTCAGTTCTATTTCTACATATAAAAGTTTGAGTGACCCAATTAAGTACTTGGATTCTTAATGAAAGAAAGAAATTACATGGGATTTCCTGGAGGTTGTACAAGGATTTCATGGAGAGATGTTATAACGTGATGAGAAAATCTTGTAAAGTTAAAGAGGTTTTGGTTTGAATTAGAGATCTGAATCTGTTCTATTGTCTGCAGATTTTTGGGCTAATCCAGGATCCGAGTGCCTTGTACACATACTTCCAATACAAATGAATATTTAGAATAAAATTATAATGCAGTGATAGACCAAATTACATTAGTTAATGACTTTAATCCACTTTATTTTTTTAGCATTGGTGGGCAAAGATGCTAAAAGTTGGCTGAAGTGGAAGCGTGCTTCACTAGATTGCGCGTGTAATAGCACTTCAATACTTTATTTGTTCAGTCTAGTCTACAGAGTGATAATTTTTTATAAATACCATCTCTAGGTATCGCCAGTCGTTTAGTAAGGTTTTCATCATCTGGTTGAGTCAAAATCTTTTTTTTTCTTATATTCATAATCTATTCACACACTAGAATCATTTGTAGCTCCAAATATTGTAGATGGTAGGTGTTTGCAGCCTGCAGCATGTTTAGTTATTCCTTTATGACACCCGAGGTTTAGCCAAATTTCAAAATGGTACCCTGATTGCATTTATTTCAATTCCTACCCTTAATCTAACTTCGTTTACTTTATTTTAACAATTGAAGGATAAAAGCGTCAAAGTATCCCACATCTCAAATTTCTCTCAAAGGAATTGGGCTTAGGATGATGATTTCCGTCAGTTTGGGTGAGAAATCCGGCCGAGATCCACAGAAAACAGGTGGCACGGGCACCGACAATGGGCGTTTGTTGAGAGAGATTTGAGATGTGGAATACTTTGATGCTTTTACCCCTCAATTGTTAAAATAAAGTAAATGGGGTTAGATTAAAGGTAGGAATCTAGAATAAATGCAACCAGCGGTACCAAGTTGGGATTTCGCTAAACCTCGAGTGCGAACATGTCGTTTGTTCTACTTTTATCTATTATTTCTTACAGCTTTGCATTGCAGCTATATACTTGGGCCATGGATACATGATTTGGAAGTGAGAGACGATGGATAGATGCTACTCTCCTTGCTTGCTTCTATGTTCAGTTCTCTTCAGCCTCTCTTTCAACCATTCTTATGTAGTTTCATCTAATCTTTCTGCAAGCAGCAATGGAGCTGGTGGGAGAATTCTGCTCCGTAACGATCTCGGTCTCACTCCTCCAATGGGGTATTCATCATTATACTATCTATGCAAATTGACAACCTGTATACTTTTCTGCACAGCTATTTCGTCTTTGCCATTTTCTTTTATAATAGTGTGTAAGAGAAGTTAATATTGAGCAGGTTGTTTTAGGTGCAAGTTATAAATAAGATGTTGTTTTCTGCTATGAACTAAAGAGTATATTCGCCTGATTATAGTGAAACTGTGCACTCTGCTTTCAGTTTGTTTTTCTTCTCTATGCCAAAGACGCTATTATTCTAATTTTGCAGTACTTACAAACTAAAAGATTATGGTTTTGTTATAACGTATTTTGTTTGTGATAAAATCAATATTCTATCAGTAATGGTTTATCCTCAAGCAATTTAACTCTATGGCGTAGGTGGAATAGTTGGAATCACTTCCACTGCCAGATTAACGAGAAGATCATTAGAGAAACAGGTGAGTTCTTGATCGTTTATTTTGGATAATACAACTAAACATGCCACAATATACCAATCTTGTTATCATCGATAGACTCAGATTACCAGCAAGAGTTTTGCATCAAGTTACTACATATATGTATGCAATATTTATAATGCTTCAATTTTTGTCTTCAACAGCTGATGCCCTAGTATCAAGTGGACTAGCCAAGCTTGGATATCAGTATGTCAACATAGGTAACAACTTGGTGTGGGAAATATCTAAAGCACCTTGCTATTCATTCCTAGGTGAAATAATCTTCTTATCAATTAGTCAATTGTCATTGCACTCTACATATTTTCCAGATGATTGTTGGGGTGAATCAAGTCGCGATTATAAGGTTCATTTACGATCTTTTCTTTACTCATTTTACAATTTCTCCAGTGGGTTTATAGACTTGAAGATCTTCTGGTCTATGTTGCGCACTAAAACATCTAGGATGACCTTCAATTTAACATGGTCTGTTAAGTTTCTTGAAAAAAAATCTGATGTTCATAATGTTCAATTGCATTCTGACTAAAATTTATGTCTTTCTAATATTTCTATTTTACCAGCAAAAATGGTTATTGAAACCATGGCCTGATCAAATTGTAGGGCAATCTAGTAGCTAACAGGACTACATTCCCAAGCGGGATTAAAGCACTTGCAGATTATGTGCACAGCAAAGGTCTGAAGTCAGGAATTTATGTAGATTCAGGGTGAGTTCTTATCATTTTTTCCTGCTAATATTCTGTGTGAAAATCATTTAAACAAGTTCCTGATGCTTTTCAAGAATTCATTGCGTTAAATTTGCATGAGAAGATGTACCATTTTTCATTAAAACACACATTAAAATGACCTTCAATTCCTTTTGTCTCCATACTTGTAAAGGTACCGAACATGTACAGGGAAAATGCCAGGTTCAATTGGCCATGAAAAACAAGATGCTACAACCTTTGCTTCGTGGGTATGCATGCTGAATGCGCAAACATAATCTTTCATCATATATGCTTGAAGTTGATCATTCTGATTTCCAGTTCTTGTCGAAGATGATTGAGATAGTAATTTGTGTAGCTTTAAGCAGGGAATTGACTACTTGAAGTATGACAATTGTTACAATGATGACACAAGACCAACTATAAGGTCATCTTAACATAATTTTTCTTATTATCTTTCCATTGTTTTGGTAAATTATTCCATTGTACCTTGATAAAGGTCTACGAATCTTGTTTCTTTCAGGTACCAAGCAATGTCCAATGCATTACAGGAGACGGGGCGCCCCATCTTCTTCTCTATCTGTGAATGGTACTCCTTTACTCTGAGTGAATATAGTTTACCTTTGATTATTTCTACAATGATTGAATTGAATTTATATTCTTGTTGCTAAATAGGGGGGACATGCACCCGGCTCTTTGGGGTGCTAATCTTGGAAATAGTTGGAGAACTACCGATGACATTTCAGACTCATGGGATCGGTAAGCTGTACATCTGCAGGAATTCTAGACTAGTTTGTCAGAATTAGTATCTCAATAGGTTGTCTTTGTATAGAAGAAATAGTGTGCAATGTGTGACTTAGAACTAAGATGTTTCCACTACATCTTTTCCTATAGAATGCTGAAGGTAGCTGACCTGAATGAAGTGTATGCTGATTATGCCAAGCCTGGAGGATGGAATGGTTAGTGTCATTCATTTGAGTTTCAAATGCTGAAAATTTTAGCCCTTGATGGTTTTCCATCACAAGATTAAGATGTAAAGTTTCTGATACACAAACTACCTGCTAATGTAGGAGAAATCTACAAGGTAGCAATACTAAATATAAATAAAATGGGAGTTGCTCTCTTCATTTGTGAAATTATAGGGCTCATTGGAGGTTTAATGACCCCAAAATGTATCGTTTTGACTGGTATATCTATCCTTTCTTTAAACAGATCCGGACATGCTTGAAGTTGGTAATGGTGGGATGAAATATAGTGAATATGTGGTGCATTTCAGCATATGGGCTATCTCCAAGGTATTTAGCTTATAAAAAAGTGCTTCATTGTCTTCTCTGGGAATGCTTTTGCAATATTGATACACATTCTATATGTTACTACAGGCTCCACTTCTTTTAGGATGTGATGTACGAAATCTTAGCAATGAGACACTGCAAATTATCGGTAATGAAGAGGTCATTGCTGTTAATCAAGGTATTTATCAATGGCGGCCATCAATCAAAGTCAAACACATTCAAATAACATTGATTATTGTCATAGTAATGCTATGTTTACTCACAATCTTACTAACCATCTTACTATCCTTTGTAAATATAACACATAATATGGATACTATACGTATAGTACGGATACTATAAGCATAGTACGGGTACCATATATAATTTTAACAGAGGTAGTAAAGTGGTTAGTAAGCTTGTGAGTACGCATAGTATTATTGTTATTGTCAAGACTGTAATTTTTGTCTACATTTTGGTAGATCCTATGGGTGTTCAAGCTAAGAAAGTTAGAATGGAAGGAGAACGAGAGGTAGCATTGATTGTACTCTGTTTATGTATACCATGAAATTTAACTTCAAAAAATCTGTCATGTTCTTTTGACCCTTGCCTAATACAATATCAGTTTCACAGATATGGGCTGGTCCTCTTTCGGGAGATAGGATAGTTGTTCTCTTGGAGAACAGAAAGCCATGGAGTTCCAAGATGACAGCACATTGGGATGACATTGGCTTTAATTCAACCAACACAGTTGTTGAAGCAAGAGATATTTGGGAGGTAAACGTAAAACCCAAGTTAAGAGGAAACTTTTGTTGCTTTGAGTCTAACTCAAATTCTAATTTTCTAATTTCAGCATACTACTCTTGCAACAAAATTTCAAGGGAAATTGACTACCAATGTGGAAGCTCGTGCTTGCAAGATGTTTGTACTGACTCCACTCACAAATTAAGCTTTTGGCATAAAGCATGAACCTCTTCTCTTTCATGTCAATAATAACAAAAGAAAAAGAAGTGTAGTGTTTAAATAACCTAAAAACTTCACAATGAGGTCTGTAATTAAGCAAATACAAAGCAGTGTATCAGGATTCAGGCGTTGTGAGAGTTCAGGGCTTCATTTAAGATATGAAATCAAGGGAGCAATTCATGCAAAACATATAGTTGAACGGTTGTTAATGAATATGGGATAGCAGAAGCAAAATTTTGTAACACTGAATGTCTTCAATACCCAACTTATGGCAAATGCTTCTTGAAAGACAAAAAGTGTAGGAAATAAGCAAGACAATGTGTGCTTCTACATGAAAATAAATACCAGAAACAAAAGAGCTTAGATTTTGCTGATGAGGAGACTAAAATGTCAACACAAGACCATCTAACAAGAAAATTAGTTATATCTTAACTTCATATAACATAGATGTAGATGAGCTTAATATAGTGAAGGGATATTTAAAGAAAAAATGTCCTGGTAAGCTTAAGTATGGCAATACAAGATTACAAGTATATATTTTGTATGAAGAAATTAGGCGCCGTATGCATACACGCTGAGAATAAAACGAGTGAGATCCAAGTATTGGCAGACAGCAGCTGCATTAATAACTTGCTTTTTGTCTACCATGGATGCAACGAACAAAAGCAAATGATCAAAGAATTTACACAAATGTTAATGAACTAAAGAAGAACATTAATGTCTGACAACTCCCAAGGAATTTTAAAAGTATAGCAATTGTTACTTGTGACTACTTCCATTGCAATGGTGGATGGCACCATTGCTCTGTTCCCTGTGCTTCATTTTTAAGTGATCTAGACCCCATATTCGAATTGTACGATCATCACTGGCTGAAGCCAACATGTGAAGATTTACTGGATTCCAGCTCACACAATTAACTGATCCAGAATGCCCAGGCAGTGCCAATATGAGTTCTCCAGAGCATCTAAGCCATATATACACCTGGAAAAAGAAATGCCACACCCCATTTTAAAACCAAAACCCTCTCCTTGATGGGAAAAAGACAAGCATTCAAACTATTATACCAAAAAAGAAACCAAAAGGAGTAAGCAACTATATACATAGGTGAAATGCAGCGTCAGAGATGGAGCAAGAAGGAGAGGGAGGGCACTGTCTATGATTTAGAGTAGCTGCTGCCAATTCTTGAGTTAACTAAACCCCATTTGTCATTTTTGCATAACCCAGGGGTTAATGGTTACTATTTAGGACAATAGTTCAGGCCAGCTTCATAATTCTTGAAGCACTAGCAGCTATTTCTTCTTTAACTGATTTCCCATATGAAATAGATATTGTATGCTATAGTATTTATTTCAAGAAATAGCATTGAGGCATTGACACCAAAACAATATCACAAATAAAAGAACAGGGATACAGGTAGAAATAATTTGAGAAAAATAATGCACTATACCCTTTTTTTTTGGGTATGTGTTAAAACTTACAAAAGGTCATACACCATTATAGTCACTTCAATAGCATCATCGTTGTAAAATGACAATCCGTTTTCTTAACAAATAAATTGGCTTCAAAAACAAAAATAAAAAAGTAAAAAACATACCGGCTTACTGAAGTAACGTTAAGCAAAAAAGGAGATATATGTCCATGGGCGGTACTTTTAGAAAATACTACATAAGCATATATAAACAAGATTCCCACAATTATTTGCATAGGATCAAAGCTATATTCCGGCAATTATATTGCATAACTATATTCATTTGAATAGAATCATTAGTCAGACAACCATTTCTTCTAGTCATATAATTTGGCTTCTATGCAGGGGAAATTAAAAAGAAGAGGTACCTGTGAATCCTCACTACCACTAGCAATGAATGCTTGCCCAAATCCACCAAAACAAGATCTGATAACAAATCGTGCACGCTTGTGACCTTTGTACTTTGACACAACTTTTGGATCACCTTCTATGCTCCAGAGATGAATTTCTTGGTTTATAAGATTAACCAGCAAGAACTTATTGTCTTTTGATAATGAAAATGAAGTAATTACTTCCTCCTCTTCAATCCATCTCTCAAATCTAGCTTCCCTGTCAAGTAAAAGAATAGCAGTTTCTCTACATATGCTTATGATCCTCTTTCCATCATCTGTTATAGCCATGTCTGATATTTTAAGTGTCTTCTGCCCTTTCCAGCATTCCAGCTCTTTTCCATCCAGATCCCACAGGCAGATGCTCCTGTCAGTCATGCCAGCAAAAATCCCTCTACCATCAGGAAACCATCCACAAGAAATCAAGCCAACACCAGTTTTTTCATAAACATGAAGGCATTCTCCAGACAAAACATCCCAACGTCTGATAACCTCCTCTTGTCCACATGTCAGAACTTGGTGGTTATCAGGACTCCATGAAACGGTCAACACCGGTTTATGGTGTCCACTTAGTTTTTGTTTCAGTAACACCTGACCTTCCTCTTTAACCTAAAAAGTGAGGAACTTTTCAGTTCATGAGTAGATAAAAGTTTGAAGTTATAATGAAAAAAACTGGTGTTTTAGCCGAGAATAATAGCAACATAGAAGAGCAACTTGTTTGGCATGTTTATGGCCCATTGCTAATAATACAATTTGCTATTTCCCTGGAATATCCTATTATCAAGCAACACTAGACACAAAACAGTCAGCGCAATTAGAACATTCTGGACATCTCGGGTCAATTATACTCAAGACCTATTTTTGCAGTACAGGTCCGCTGAAACTATATACTTCTATAATGAGAATTGTATCACACCATTTGCCGAAATTTCAAGATTTCGAGTACTTAGAACAAGAGCACATTGCTTGTCAAAGATGAATTTACTCCATGTGGGTATCCAAAAACCCATGCAAACATGTTTGAAACCAGAATTCAAAAGTGCAACACATTGCACCACGGAATACAGTTCTACTAACATCATTGAAAATTTGAAATCACAGGACACCATGGATTAAAAAAAAAAATCTTGTTAATGGCAATTTAAATAAAATGAAGAGCCATAAGGTAATATAGCAAAATGTTAGACCTCACAAAAAATCTGACTCAAGATCAGGTTAAGGACTGTCCTCAGAGTTACAGTGTTAATCTGCCCAAGATGCAGTGAAACACTCAGCACAGTTTAAATAGGCCTGGTCAGCTAGAAGATAGTTTGAGCTAAAGGGGAATATTTTTCATAAAAGGAGCCGGGGAGGAGAGAGCTCTCCAAGTCATATATTCAACCACAACATTTATGATTTTTTGACATTGGCTCATGCTATACAAATACCAATATAATTTCACTCAAGCCAATAGATTGACTTAAATCTGCTAAAACGTTTCCTTGTCTCCACACTTCTGACTCTTTATTGAATTCCATCTTTCTACCAAATAGTTAATAGTCTCCCTCAAGAAGCGAAATAGAGCACATTAGTTACAGATAATGTGCTCATATTGGCAAAATTCCAGAAAGTTAGCACTGTGTAAATGAGGTAAAAGAACCTGGAAGGTTGTAGAAGTCCATGTCAACAACTACAAGCCCATAATCATAAAGAAATCTTACCTCCCATATAATTGCTGACTGATCCTTGGATGATGATGCCAAATATTTTCCATCATGTGAAAATTGCAAAAACCACACTTCATCAGTGTGTGCTTCCAGTATCTGTTCCGTTTGTACAGACAGATTTTTTCACATTAGCCTTGGTAAAATTTGATGAGACAAATTTACAATAGCAAATGCGCAGTCCATTAATGGTATGTACGGTAAGAGACACCATAATACATCATAGATTGATGATAGTGAAGTAGTGATGAAAACAATGCAGACAATGATGATGTCAATGATAAATAAAAGAAAATAAATAAATAAATAGATGGGAAGATAAAAATGGCTCAAGGCATGCATTTCCTTTCTTTAAGAACAAATCTTTATCTTAGCCCCTTCCAATAAGGTTCCCCTCAAATTACTGGCACTAGCTAATCATATTAAGACTTTCTTGCATCACATTATCCAACTAGATCACCATTCAAACACTGGTAGTCTTATTACAAAGTTTATTGTTGGCAACATACTTACTTATTCAAGTCCAATATTTTGTCTTCCAACAAACAAAGATCAGTTCTCAATTCCCTAGACCGCTTTAAGACACAAAGCTAAACAGGGGCAGTAGAAGGAAGCACTAAGCATCACTTTCATTTGAGTAAGAATGCACATTCAGTACAAAGGCCCATATCTTCGAAAAATTCTGTTTCACCATCTACACAACATAAGATCTAGTGAGCAGAGGAGCGATTTAGTATACCTATGAAAATTCTCACCATATATCTTTGAAGAAGATAATGAATGAAGTCCTAAATACAAAAAGCAAACAAAACCCCAATGTTCATAATATCCCCAAGCAATCAAGGACCTAAACAATTCAAACCAAGCAACATTCTCCCTTGCCAAAAAGAAAAAAAGACATCTCAATAATTTGTGAACGAGATCAGAACTTCTCACACCAATATGGAAATGAAATATCAACAATCATAGTGAGGAGATTAAAAAAAATTGATTTGGGTAAGTCAATAACAATTGAAACTTTTGGGCAAACCAGCAATTAGTTATCCTTCCGCAACACATAGAAAATAATGCCAAGACTCTAATGCCTTTCATAAAAAACCAAGCAAAATTAAACTGATACGGGGCATGCAAGGTATCTGAAGCCAACAGTCAGCCCAGAGACTCTAACCTGCAAAGTTTGGGAAGGAATCTGGTTTCTACCGCACTGGTGGTCTGAATATAAAGACAGATTGCTATCCAATGTATTGTGGAATGTGCACAAACCTCGTTGTACATCAAGAGCCTTTTCAACAAGATGTTCTAATCTTTTTTCAGGAATCATGACTGAAGCAGGAAGTAACTTTTGCAGTTTTGCTAATAATATTGATCTTGACTTTGCACCATCAGTATCTTGATAAGAGACTCCAAGCATTGAAGGCTTGAAAGGAGAAATAATGCAGGATGCGAGCTCATGCACTCGGCTCATATTGATTTGAAGAGGCACAATCTCATTTCTTAAAGTATTTAAGGCAGCACTGACTTTTTCCATTTGTAGAAGCTCGAGAAACTTCTGTTCCAACATCAAGAAAGACACAGATTTCAAAGTCATTTCATCCGATATACCAATCATGTGCAATGTGGCCACACTTTCATCCCACTTTCCATCCATCACTTTCTGCATGAACGAATTGACAACTGATGAGTGCAATCGTATTCCTGATTCTTCCTCTAGAAGGGCCCCACTCTTATCATAACCAAGTGAGTACAATGCCCTGGTTATGATTTTGACGAATTCTGCTTTTTTGATGACACCTTTTGCACCAATTGTTTCTTCATCCCCTTGGGAGGTTAGTGGCCGAGCCATCTTGTCTCCCAAAGAGCAAGCTAAAGATTGTGTGATAGATGAGTCTTTAGACAAACTCTTTGATTCTCCAAAGGGCCCTTTCACACGTTTCAAGGGTGGTTCAATATCTTCTATAACTCCCATGAAATGTCTGAATCAACCCATATATACTCTATGAGAAGCAAAAAGGAATAAAGCGTGTAAGGAGAAATGTATAATCTCACAGCCATTATAATAAAAAACTTATATTGATGCATAAGATAGCCAGAGGAAAGGCCTCAGAAAGTGCAGGAAAAATGTAAGTGAGCACCAGGAAAAAATAGAACCCCAGAAGACCAACATTTTAGTAACACAAAATTATGTGACATAAGCTGTATCTGCCCAAAAGAGAAAAACATATAATGAACAAACATAGAAACAAAATGTAAAACATTAATACGAACAAAAATCTTTCTCCTTCAAAGCGAAAGTGGCTCAAAGCACATGACCATACAATCGTGTTATGAAGCAACTATAAAGAAGAACATGATACGAGCTAAAACCATACCAAGAACTGAATCACATTGCAAAACCTAAAAAAGGGTAATTAATGCCAGTAATTATGCTTTTATGCAGTAGTGAGAGTGTCTAATCATTTCTCAACCTGAACTTCTCCATAAAAATTGAAAAAAAACGAAAGAACGAAAGAAAGGTGACCCTCAAGCTAAAAGCTTCTTGAAACTGTAGCCATGAAGTTTCAGTACTGAAACAATTAATCAGTTTTCACAATTAAATACTAACAATTAGCTGCTAATTTTCATAATTTAAGGAAAACAAGCATGATCCATCTCTTATTGATAAGAAAGCAACATAACACAAAATATAAGAAATGCTAAACACAAAATTGCCCAACAACAACAAACAGCAGCACATAATAATATAAAAAGAAAGAAATCCATGAAGCAAATCAAGAGAGCAAGGCATGAAATAGATTAAAAAGAAGAGAAATGAGTGAAAGAAGAAATACCCAGAAAGAGAATGCGTAGAGAGAAAGAGAAAGAAGCAAACATGAACAAGAAGAAGATGATGATTGTTGGTATTATTATTATTTATTATGACCAAAAAGCAACACCTCACCACCGAAAGAAAGCAAGCTATATAGTAATGTAATGTGTATTTTTTGACAACAGCGAGAAAGTAATAATAAATAAATAAAAAATGAAAATTTATTTTACCATAATTTTAGAGAAAGAAGAGTATAGGTATGGTTTGGTCTTTATCCATGTCCATGTCCATGTCCATGTGACTGAGTTGTGTCTGTCCACCACGTATCTCACTTTGATTTTATCAATTTTCTTACTTTCTTTTATATTTGACCAGTGCAATTCTCAATCTGAAATGGGGAGTTTCCTTCTTTCTATATTTTGCTTGGCGTGCTGGTAAATGAAAGCACCTCCTTATTTAGTTTGATTATTTCTCCTTTCTATTTTTCTAATCACAATGTCAACTCTTCACTCAACCTCATTCAACTCAAATCAAACCAGTCTTGGATTATGTTAGATAACATCATTTATTAAACTTTGTAATTTGGAGTGCTTTTATACCAGGATTCCTAGCAAACGTTATGTTTTTATTATAATGGGCTCTGTAAAAATATTATAACATCCATTGAGGTTAATTGGTGGTTCGATGTCATATTTGGGATTATATACAAGAGAAGTGCTAGTCTTATAAAGATAAATACAAATGGGGCATACAAAGATAATCCCTACCTTTGATCTTCATGATTTCTCTCTCTCTCTTTTTCACTTTTTCCGTTTTTTCTTTGTTTTTTCCTTCACTTTATAGCTTTCTTTGTATAAGTCTTTGTAAGGATAACATTTTTCTATGTACAAATGCCTATTTTAGTGTTTATTATGTACAAGAAAAATGCTGCTCAAATAATTCCTTAACAGTTGGAAATTCCCTACTTAATCTAGAAAAGGAATCCCTTTAGTAACTTATTTACTATTCTCATGTAAAATTATAAGTATATGCTTAGAAGAAATGCTTGGCTCTGGCCTTATCCAAAACCATCCATAGAGTGCTACTGGATATGGTAACATCTTGGTCTTGGGAAGAATAAACTAATTTCATGGTCCATGTGCAGTTTTTCTCCATGTCCAAGAAACCTTTTGCAAAATTCAAGCTTTCATTGATTTTGTTTTATTTTTTTTTATTTTTACCAGTTTATGCTCTCTGTTTTTGGTACAGATACCAAGACAAGAATGCCAGAGTTCACAAACCTTGGACTTGCACACTGTAGGAAAAAGACAACCATAATACACATAGATTGATGATAGTGAAGTAGTGATGAAAACAATGCAGACAATGATGATGTCAATGATAATAAAAAGAAAATAAATAAATAAATAGATGGGAAGATAAAATGGCTCAAGGCATGCATTTCCTTTCTTTAAGAACAAATCTTTATCTAGCCCCTTCCAATAAGGTTCCCCTCAAATTACTGGCATAGCTAATCATATTAAGACTTTCTTGCATCACATTATCCAACTAGATCACCATTCAAACACTGGTAGTCTTATTACAAAGTTTATTGTTGGCAACATACTTCTATTCAACCAATATTTGTCTTCCAACAAACAAAGATCAGTTCTCAATTCCCTAGCTGCTTTAAGACACAAGCTAAACAGGGCGTAGAAGGAAGCACTAAGCATCACTTTCATTTGAGTAAGAATGCACATTCAGTACAAAGGCCCATATCTTCGAAAAATTCTGTTTCACCATCTACACAACATAAGATCTAGTGAGCAGGGAGCGATTTAAGTATACCTATGAAAATCTCACCATATATCTTTGAAGAAGATAATGAATGAAGTCCTAATACAAAAAGCAAACAAAACCCCAATGTTCATAATATCCCCAAGCAATCAGGACCTAAACAATTCACCAAGCAATTCTCCCTTGCCAAAAGAAAAAAAAGACATCTCAATAATTTGTGAACGAGATCAGAACTTCTCACACCAATATGGAAATGAAATATCAACATCATAGTGAGGAGATTAAAAAAATTGATTTGGGTAAGTCAATAACAATTGAAACTTTTGGGCAAACCAGCAATTAGTTATCCTTCCGCAACACATAGAAAATAATGCCAAGACTCTAATGCCTTTCATAAAAAACAAGCAAAATTAAACTGTATGGGGCATGCAAGGTATCTGAAGCCAACAGTCAGCCCAGAGACTCTAACCTGCAAAGTTTGGGGGAATCTGGTTTCTACCGCACTGGTGATCTGAATATAAAGACAGATTGCTATCCAATGTATTGTGGATGTGCACAAACCTCGTTGTACATCAAGAGCCTTTTCAACAAGATGTTCTAATCTTTTTTCAGGAATCATGACTGAAGCAGGATAAACTTTTGCAGTTGCTAAGAATATCGACCTTGACTTTGCACCATCAGTATCTTGATAAGAGACTCCAAGATTGAAGGCTTGAAAGGAGAAAAATGCAGGATGCGAGCTCATGCACTCGGCTCATATTGATTTGAAGAGGGACAATCTCATTTCTTAAAGTATTTAAGGCAGCACTGCTTTTCCATTTGTAGAAGCTCGAGAAACTTCTGTTCCAACATCAAGAAAGACACAGATTTCAAGTCATTTCATCCGATATACCAATATATGCAATGTTGTTATAGCCATGTCTGATATTTTAAGTGTCTTCTGCCCTTTCCAGCATTCCAGCTCTTTTCCATCCAGATCCCACAGGCAGATGCTCCTGTCAGTCATGCCAGCAAAAATCCCTTTACCATCAGGAAACCATCCACAAGAAATCAAGCCAACACCAGTTTTTTCATAAACATGAAGGCATTCTCCAGACAAAACATCCCAACGTCTGATAACCTCCTCTTGTCCACAGGTCAGAACTTGGTGGTCATCAGGACTCCATGAAACGGTCAACACCGGTTTATGGTGTCCACTTAGTTTTTGTTTCAGTAACACCTGACCTTCCTCTTTAACCTAAAAAGTGAGGAACTTTTCAGTTCATGAGTAGATAAAAGTTTGAAGTTATAATTAAAAAAACTGGTGTTTTAGCAAAGAATAATAGCAACATAGAAGAGCAACTTGTTTGGCATGTTTATGGCCCGTTGCTAATAATACAATTTGCTATTTCCCTGGAATATCCTATTATCAAGCAACACTAGACACAAAACAGTCAGCGCAATTAGAACATCCTGGACATCTCGGGTCAATTATACTCAAGACCTATTTTTGCAGTACAGGTCCGCTGAAACTATATACTTCTATAATGAGAATTGTATCACATCATTTGCCGAAATTTCAAGATTTCGAGTTCTGAGAACAAGAACACGTTGCTTGTCAAAGATGAATTTACTCCATGTGGGTATCCAAAAACCCATGCAAACATGTTTGAAACCAGAATTCAAAAGTGCAACACATTGCACCACGGAATACAGTTCTACTAACATCATTGAAAATTTGAAATCACAGGACACCATGGATTAAAAAAAAAAATCTTGTTAATGGCAATTTAAATAAAATGAAGAGCCATAAGGTAATATAGCAAAATGTTAGACCTCACAAAAAATCTGACTCAAGATCAGGTTAAGGACTGTCCTCAGAGTTACAGTGTTAATCTGCCCAAGATGCAGTGAAACACTCAGCACAGTTTAAATAGGCCTGGTCAGCTAGAAGATAGTTTGAGCTAAAGGGGAATATTTTTCATAAAAGGAGCCGGGGAGGAGAGAGCTCTCCAAGTCATATATTCAACCACAACATTTATGATTTTTTGACATTGGCTCATGCTATACAAATACCAATATAATTTCACTCAAGCCAATAGATTGACTTAAATCTGCTAAAACGTTTCCTTGTCTCCACACTTCCGACTCTTTATTGAATTCCATCTTTCTACCAAATAGTTAATAGTCTCCCTTAAGAAGCGAAATAGAGCACATTAGTTACAGATAATGTGCTCATATTGGCAAAATTCCAGAAAGTTAGCACTGTGTAAATGAGGTAAAAGAACCTGGAAGGTTGTAGAAGTCCATGTCAACGACTACAAGCCCATAATCATAAAGAAATCTTACCTCCCATATAATTGCTGACTGATCCTTGGATGATGATGCCAAATATTTTCCATCATGTGAAAATTGCAAAAACCACACTTCATCAGTGTGTGCTTCCAGTATCTGTTCCGTTTGTACAGACAGAATTTTTCACATTAGCCTTGGTAAAATTTGATGAGACAAATTTACAATAGCAAATGCGCAGTCCATTAATGGTATGTACGGTAAGAGACACCATAATACATCATAGATTGATGATGGTGCAGTAGTGATGAAAAAATAGACAATGATGATGTCATGATAAATAAAAAAATAATATAGATGGGAAGATAAAAATGAGACACCATATATCTTCTCAAGGCATGCATTTCCTTTTTTCAAGAACGGGTCTTTATCTCAGCCCCTTCCAATAAGGTTCCCCTCAAATTACTGGCACTAGCTAATCTATTACGACTTCTTTGCATCTCATTATCCAACTAGATCACATTCAAACACTGGTAATCTTATTACAATATTTATTGTGGCAACATACTACTATTCAAGTCCAAATTTTGTCTCAACAAACAAAGATCAGTTCTCAATTCCCTAGACTGCTTTAAGACACAAAGCTGAACAGGGCAGTAGAAGGAAGCACCATAATCACTTTCATTTGAGCAAGAATGAACATTAGTACAAAGTGTTGAGGCAGGTGCCCTAGAACCAATCCAATTGTAGTAATTGACTAGTTGTAAAAACATGTTGATATTAATAAAAGGCATCACTATATTATGTAAATCGATATATTGTTATATATGTGCCTTAGAATATGGAACCGTAAGAAGAATCAAGCGGTAATAATCTTGATTGTGAGATCCCTATGAGCACATTTGTGGCCATTCTAAAACGTTCAAAGTCCCAGTATTATTTTAAAAAAGGGCACAGATAATACGGTAAGACTATCATATTGGAACGACTTTATCGAAAGATAGTAACAAATCTTACATGTTGAAGTTGTTGGTGGCAACTTCGTACAATGTATGGGTGCTTGCAGTTGGCAAGTTCATTGGACAGACCAACCAGAGGATTCCATATAGATGATAACCCAATGTCTATGGATATATCCTCTAAAGATGAAGTGCAATAATCCTTAGACTTGAGATTATCAGAGCACCATTTGTAATATCAGTGTAGTTTGACGTTGGCCTAACATAGTCCTATTTAGGGTTATCGGTATAAGAGTGATTGGCTACATTAAGTAATACACTATGGCTATGGTGTACAACATAGAATTCATCACTTTTGGTTATATGAGAATTTATCTCATTGAGTATAATGTTGGTTTAGTTTTGATTTAGTCATTAGTTTGATTACCAAATACGAACATATCAAGGTAGTATATTTGAAGTTGACATTATTTCCGTACTTAAACAATGATGAGATAATAGTTGATAAAATGATTTAATTGCAAGGTAACCATAACGTTGACAGTATTACTACCACAATCTGTATCTATCGAGTGGCCAGATGTCTAGCTAGAGGTCAATCTGGGTCTGTGTAATAGACAATTGATTGAGTGTCAATTCGATATTACCTATGCTAACTGATAAAGAGTCTAAGGTCACACACTTAAAGAGAAATCAAAGAAGATTTGGAAATAGGGCAATTTCCCATTTTAGGGTGAAAGTATATTTGGTAAATCTTATGGTGCGATTAAATTTGTTGGAAGGTTGTCACCTATGTCCAATTTTAATATTGGATTTAATTTGTAAGATTACATATTTGTTTAATATATATATTGGTGTATATATTTATATATATTTAAATGAATAAATTATCATTTTAACTTTATCATTGGTGTATATACTTTTTAAATAGTGAATTGTTATTGAATAATTAATCAATAAAAATAAAATATCAAACCGGTTTTTTCTTGACAAAGTAAGTCTAATTATTTATTTATAAATAAGGGATATTAGTAGGGAATATTCTTGTAATATGCCAAGCGAATATTAGAGTTAGGGTTTGCATAAAAAGGCCACCCTTATTCCATTATTAGATATCTTGCCTCCCAAGCCAAAGTTGTAGAGAAAAATTTTCTTAGAAATTTTTCTTGCCTTTTCTTCTTGAACCTCCACTCTGAAACAAACGGTTTGATTGTGTGAGTATTCTTGTCTTTTATAGATTACCATTCATTCACTTCCCTCTTGAAGTGGTAGTGTTTTTTACAATCAAAATCGAAGAAGCCTCCAATCGAGGTATGATTATAACGAATGTTAATCTTATATATGTTTGTTTTGAATGAGTTATTAACATCAATCTATGATCCGAGATTAAATGGGTTTCCGAATAAGTTTTTTATTTATTATTCCTACTTTATTCGATTAAAACCCTACACAAAGGCCATATCTTCGAAAAATTCTGTTTCACCATCTACCAACATAGGATCTAGTGTGCAAAGGAGCAATCTGTATACCTGAAAATCTCCCAATTCACATAAATAATCCTCATCATTATGTTAGTGATGAAGAGCTTAGAAAGGATGATGAATGAAGTCCTAAATATGATAAGCAAACAAACCCCATGTTCATATATTCCCGAGCAATCAAGGGCCCAAACAATTCAATCAATCAGCATTCTCCCTCCCGAAAAGAAAAAAGACATCTCAATAATTTGTGAACGAGATCAGAACTTCTTACACCAATATGGAAATGAAATATTAACAATCATAGTGAGGATAAAAAAACGATATGGGTAGTCATAACAATTGAACTTTTGGGTAAACCAGCAATTAGTTATCTGATGGACCAAGTCCTCTAAGTGGTACAAACGAAGGGCTAAGGGTGGCAAAAGGAGTTAAGGTAGTGTTGACAAGTGGCATGGCCATAAGGGGTTTGAGTAGTTAGTTAGAATCTTTAGTGTAGGAATAAAAGGGGACGTGAGATGAGTAAGGGATATCCTGAAAATTGAGTGTGGATTGTCTAGGAGGTGCTGGCCCTCGAAGACCAGTTTGTTTCTAAACATTTTATGAATACCATCTCACTACTGTTTTGTCTTAATTCTTATTGTTTCTTCACTTGTTCTTAAAATTGTTTGTGTTTGCACTATTGGTGTGGCTGTGTTTGTTTGGTGTTCTGGAGATGGTGTGTGTTTTAGTTTCAAAGGTGTATTCATCAACTAGTATCATAGCTTACGATCTTTGGGTATAGTTGGTATTAGGATGGAGGCCAGAGTGGATGGTGTTGAAAAGGAAGTGATGGTGGTTCAAAGATGTGACTAGGTTATCGAAAAATGTAAATGCCATGGAGAGATGTTAATGGAGATATAGAACTGATGGAAAGGAAGATAAAGAAGAAGGATTTTTCTGGGGTACAAAACACCTCTTGGGTTGGAATCATCCAAATATGGAAGTTATTCGGAGAACGATCAAGGGAACTTCAACAATAATAATGGAGAGAGTTAGAATCGACGAGACTAAGGGATGGAGTTAGAACTACTCATCTTTTTCGACGAGATCAATATCGATGGATATTTCAAGTGAGAGATATTTCATGATCAACCAAATCCCAAATGAAATAAGGTCCAGGCACAACACTTGTATGGAAGAAGCTCTTCACTAGTATCAATGGACATAATCAAGATCGGCATGACGACTTGGCCAACATTCAAGGTTGCTCTCTTACAGCGCTTCAGTGGACTCAGGAAATCAGCCCTTTGGAACTCTTATGGCAATGAAGCAAAATGGGACAGTCTTGGAATATCGCTCCGATTTGAGGAAGTCCCTGCATTACAATCGATGAAATGGAAGATGTACTAACGCAACATTTTAATGGACTGAGACCAGATAAAAGTTAAATTAAGTTGCACCAGACCAATGTTCTAGCCCAGCCCAATCGTTACAAAAGTGACTCTCTTGGTCCAAAAGTAGAAGAGAGGAATCAAGTGTTAGAGGAGGCCGAAATGGTATGGGTCGCCAAGGAAGCTGGGGAAATGTAGCAAATGGGCCACAAAGTATTATTTCCCAGAGCAGGCCCAAAGAAGCAACAAAAGTCAGCCCAACATGAATCACCTAAGCCCTTTAATCAAACCCAACATTATTTCGAAAAACCTAGGTGAGTCTTTCTCCAGTAAAACTCAGGCAATCTGTCAACTTCCAATCAAATACTTTCTGGCAAGATTTCCTTATAAGAAGTTAATCGAGGTTGAAATTCAAAAGAAAAGGGAGAAGTGGTTATGTTCTCTGTGCGATGCTAATTATTACCGGGTTCAAATGTGGAGATAAGCAATTTCAAGTGTTGTTATTGGAAGAAGACGAACTAGGGGTGAACGAAGATCTGATCAAGAGATTGTAGCTAACAAAGAAACACCCACAAGGTAGACTTATCAATAAGCTTTGTGGTAGGGATTAATGGTCCGAAAATGTTGAAGTTGAAGGGGGAAATTGGGGGTAAGGAGGTTATGTGTTGGTGGACAGTGGAGCTTCCCGTATTTCATCAATCGAGAATTAGTAGAAGAGATAGAATTTCAATTGTGCAAACGAACACCTTTGGGGTAAGAGTTGGGATGGGTATTATATAAGATGCCAGGTGAATGTAGAGAGGTGTTTGCAACTGCAATCACTGTTGTCTAGAGTTTTTTCCATTCGACATGAGCATAGATAACTTTGGGGGTGGCATGACTTGAGACCCTAGGTGAAACTACACTGATTGGAAAAAATAAGTGATGAAATTCAGTTGTCAAGGGAGAAGTGATTCTTCATAGCGATCCTTCTTTGTGTAAGGTATGGTGTCCTTAAGGATATGATTAAACACTGCAGACAAAATGGTAAGGTATTTAATTGAATTTAGTAATCTGCATTGCAACCAAAAACAATTAGTATAGTATAGTATAGTCGATTCATGAGCTGTACAAAACCAAAGCTTTATTCAAGCCTACGCTAGGTCACCCACCTCAGAAGTCAACGATCATCCCATCAAAATTAAGCCAGTTAATCAACCTCGTAACATTAGACCTTATTGACATCCTATATCAAAAAAATGAAATTTAGAGGATTGTCTGGGAGATGTAAGCATCTAGGATTATCAAAGCCACCACATCCCTTTACTAGCCCTATGTTGTTAGTACGAAAAAAGATTGAGGTGGCATTT